TGATGACTATGAGTCCGATGGCGAGTATAACTGTGAGCACAATCACCGAACATATCACAGGTATCACAATTGTGATCGACTCCAACCCCCCTAATGGGGGCTCCCTTTCCGATAGCGGCGATACTGTACCTGAAAATTGACCGTAAATATACATTAATGCTTTAATATGAACATGCAATATGTACTGTAAATTTATCTGATTTAAAATATTGATTAATACAACAAGCCAGATTTTATATACATCTGGGACGTATGATTGTATTAATATTAAAATTATATATTTTGTAAATAATACAAATACATGATAACTACTGTAAAACAATCATAATTATAATGACAAATTCAGTTAGCTAATACGATTTATTATTACATTTGGTCTAAACCACAACCATTATGAATTTGTCAGACTTATTCACAAATTCTGTATAATTTATATAAAAATAGTAATAAATATGTCAACCCATACCTCCCTGAGCTGTAAGCGTAGCAAAATGATAGGTCTGTTCACCGGCTCCGGCCTCGTTGACAGCTTTAATGTAGAGCTGATACCAGTGCCCGGGGCTCAGCCCCAGCAGTTCAATGCTCGACTCCTGAGGCCAGACCTGTGCCGACACTTCTGACCACTCGGTCTCGTATTTAGTCACTCGATATCGTATGAGAAACTCTTTGATGGGACAGCCGTTTGAATGCCAGGCGTCGAGTTGGATGTGCGCCCACGTTGTGTTCACCACAAGGAATTCATTCACATGTTTTGGGGGTACAGGTGCTAATTATCGATGTAGGGTAAAAGGAATATAACATGTTAATATTTGTGTATTATGAGTTATAATTATTAATATTTTAATAGAATTAGAAATAAAATAACACTGATAAAAACATGGTTAATCTTTTATATAGTTTTGATTATTGTGTCTAAAATATATTTTAGTTTAAAATAAATGTATTTATGTAATAAATTATTTATTAAAAATATTTATTATACACACTTTGTATATATATTATAAAACTGTATTTATTCATAGTTTAATGCTCGAGTTAATATAAGTTATTAAATAGCTCATCTACATGGGTCCTAAACGAAGCTATTTAATTTTGTAAAAATTTTGAGATTTATTATTTAAGATATAATTTAATCTAAAAATTTTAATTTATATGTTAAATTATTGAATTATATCAATAAATATGCTACTATTAAAAATTTAATTATTTTGTTAATACACTGTAATCTTTAATATTATAAAACTATAACTCATATAATTAATTATCGAAGTTATACGTTTAAATTAATCTGGTGCGAGGAGTTAATTTCATGTACCATGTTAATTTTGTAATATTTTTATAATTAAATATAAGTTTTAAAATGATTTTGTAACTTCTGGTTATTTGCATAAATATTTTTGTGCTCTATTATTTTAAAACAAGGTTTTGTTAAAATAACACATTTTTAATTAATAAAGTTGATATTTTTCTAAAATAAATAATTATGGTGACCATGTATTTATATTTATTTATTAACCAACTGTACATAATTATATTTTTCAGTATACGATAATATAATTTGTTTCATATTCTATATAAACGGTGTTTCAAGTAATACTTGTTTTAATTTATAATAATTATAAACATATTTATATTATAATATCGGCTTAATTAGTATTACGATTAATTTAGGCAATTTGAAACAATCTTACCTGATCCTTTAGTTTTAATGGCGATTGAATCGCTGGCGTCTCCCTTTCCCATCGCATTATATGCCACCACATAAAACTGTTTATTAAGGTAAAAATGTATTAATAGTATTTATAAATTATGCTTGATTCAAAAATCTTAATAGATTCTTAGGCTCTTGCCAAATATATATTAAACACATTTTGCTAGCAATCATTTCAAGTATAATAAAACAAGTTACAGTTTTAACAAGTTACAATAAATTGTCAATTAATATATTTAATTAATTTAAAATAAGCTGAGCGTTATGATAAAAATTATCTTGTTAATTTATACAATCATGCACATTCGGCATGCAATTAACATGTAAAATAATATAGCACAAAGAAACAATAATACAATACACACCTGATATAATGTCCCGCAGAGCAGATCATTACTGGTATAGGCGTTGGTTTTGATGCGGATCTGTCTCTCCATCCAAACGGATGAATGGCTTTTGGAAAACACATAATAGCCGTTGATTTGACTCAAAGCTGCCGTTAGGTTAGCCTCAGAGGCAAAGGTCCACACGATCTCAATCCAGTCGTACCCGACGTCCCCCTGAGATAGTAGGGGCGCCGACGGCCTGTCCATCACTAGTGTCTGGCCGTAGACCTCTTCAGATTGGGGTCCCGTTCCCTTACTATAGGAATATATTTTGAAAAGGTAATTTATTTTTGATAGTATAAGGTAGTGTTAGTCCATAATTAATTGTTATATTATTATGGTGTTGCTTTTTTGTTTTTAATTGACATTTAATTTTTAGCTACAATATTGATTTATGATAACTGTTTAATATATTTTATGATATATTTTTTGCGAGTATATACAATTATATATAGGTCATAATCTGACAGAATTATCATGTGCTTAATTTTGGCTTTCTTTGATCTCTCTCTCTCTCTCTCTCTCTCTCTCTCTCTCTCTCTCTCAGAATTTTGATGCGATTCTTGCGATATATTTGAAAACCTAATCATAACTTCTGTCCACAAAATAAAATACAGATATTTACCACAAAAATATAATGTTTAATACATAACACATACTGTACTGTATGTGAAAGTTATTTAATAACGATAATATTGTATGAATTATGTTGAAAATAATTTACACTGTGTCATCATTCCGTTAACTGAACCGGGTAATTATATTTTTCAGCCATCATGTTAACAGCATGTTGTGTAAAAATATTTTATACAATATATAATTGAAAATTTTGATGCAAATTATCAAACATATTTTGCTATAATTAAATATTAATTCAAAATAAACTATATATCATCTATATAATTTATATACACTTCTCTTTTACATAGATTTATATCAGTATAACTGTCTCCAGGACTGGATTTGACAGCACCAGTATTTTTATCAATATAAAATATCTTATATATCTGTATATACAGTACAGAGAGTTATAATAAGTATTTCTTATAGTAATTCAATATAGGCTTCACTTATCACACAAATGGTGTCGTTTTTATGACATATTCTCTCTCTCTCTCTCTCTCTCTCTCTCTCTCTCTCTCTCTAACAAAACATTTGTATCTATGGATAAACTTAGAGAAAATGGGAGAGAGAATGATAAAATCTGGTGGAATTTAATTCACCCTATTTTTATCATTTGTATGTTTGAAATATACATTTTATATAGAGATTGATATCTATTGTATCGTAAAATTTTGTGATTAAAATTCTGGTCTGATTTTAATGTCTCCACACATTATGTTATTGTGTGTATGCATTAGTACTGTATTATATGTGTCGTTATATACATATACAGGGTGTATTATCCATTCCTGACGCTTTTACAGCTTTTACAGCTTTTACATTATTTTTATTTTATCCATGTTATAGAATATTTTTCTTAACAGTATAATAACAGACACATTGGCGTACACTAAGCAACTGAAGGGAGGCGTTGTGTTTATCGATGGCATTAAAAGAACTGCAATCGGAAAAGTCGACCGAAAATATTACCGGTCTTTAGTTAAGGACGAAGTACTCAACTATTAGTGCATTTAATCCTATTTTAATTTTAATAAATAATTTTCGTAAATGCATAAAAATAAATTGTAAAATTTGTTGAATATTATTTAATATTTTAAGTCACATTTTAAAATGCATTTAACACTAAATCTAGTATGGGCGCAATAAAAAAAATGCATTATAACCAGTCATTTTTTACATTGAAATTTACACTCAGTGTAAATTTAGCCCTTACTAGCACTAAATAATACAAAACAATAATTGTTAAACTTAAAAGTATACACTGTATGTAATAAAAGTTTGATTCAGTAATTTATATACAGTACATGTATGTACAGGGTGTATTATCCATTCCTGACGCTTTTACAGCTTTTACAGCTTTTACATTATTTTTATTTTATCCATGTTATAGAATATTTTTCTTAACAGTAATTCGTGGAATTTATAAGCAGATAATTCATGTTTAATTTGGTATGATTTATATAATAATTAATAATCCCTTGGCCTACCAGGAATAATTTTATTGCAAAAATATCAAATTTAAAATATTATTGATTTTGTGACCTTATCTATTTCTTAAAACAGTAAGCGTAATTAGATAATACTAATTCAGCAGACTAACCATTATATGTAATTTGTTAATCCATCATAATATTTAATTTTTCATAACCATACTTTCCTTTGTAATTTTATTACTATGTTAACTTTTTACATAGGATTACATTGAAAAATTCGCAAAAATATAAATTGTTCAACAAAGTTAGAATATTCTGGTTTAAATTTTAGATATTTAGGAAAACTTAAATACTGAGTACGCAAATATAAAGTACAACTTTTAATTATTTGAAAACAGCTGAGTTTATTAAAATTGGTTTACAAATGCCTAATCTACACATGTTTAACCTACTCTTGTAATGCTTTTCAATGCAAATATGCACGTGTCAGAAATGGATAATACACGGTTTATATATATAATTATATGTTAAATATATATATAATTAAATAAAATGATTGAATTCCAGTTCACTAATGAGAGATGATATAAAGGACTGATGGTTATAATAATAGCACTTATATCCTATCTATCTATATATGTGTATATATACTATAAAATATATGGCACTTATATTTTTGTACTATACTATACAGTGAGTAGTCTATGGCAGACATTCACTCCCATTATACAAATTACTGCCACAAAAGGCATTCAATTCAATGGCTTATAATTAACTGAAATTGAATGAAAAGCTCATCTTCTTTAGCATCACATCTCTCTTATTCTCCTTTAAAAAGCCATAAACTTATTATTTTTCTATTGAATTCATCAGGAAATGAGATGAGGGTTACATTGATGGAGATCTAGATGTATATTCTCTATGTATGTATTATTTATTTCAATAAAATCTCCCTATTTATCAATGAAAAATTCATTAATTTAATGATTTGTCACAAAAAACTGTTTCCATACAATAGGGCTTAATATATAATTTATTTAATTCATTTCAAACGTGATGCATTGAATTTGAGATTACCAAGCTTTAGTTTAAATTTATACTGGTTATCTTAAATAAAAATATTTTTACTTAACTAGCAACTGTAATATATTTATTAGATTAGTATAAATACACCAAGGATATTTTAATAATTTATATAATTGGAATATCATAGCGCTTCGGTAATTTTTAAATATATCAATAAAATTAAATTACTTTTAATTATTTAAAATTAAATATAAATAATAAATAAATGTTATAGCAATTGGTAATAATTGGTAATAAATTAATAATGAATTAATCTAAATAAATCTGAATATTCTATGATTAAACTTTAATTGTTATTATTGAATAAATATTGCCTTAAAAATTGTTTTGTAATAATTGTCCTCATGAAATTTAAACTGTAATTTTTCTACTAAAAAATTATTTATAAATATACTCATATAAAATTCATGATATTTGGGCAATACAATGAAAATCATTAATTACTAATCAATTATTATGAGTTATCGCCAATAATAACATAATTTATTATTTTAACTTAACTAATCACTATGTTAAAAATTACATAGTTAAAAATTTTATATTATAATAATTACCTGTTGAACGCCTGGACGACAATCGCGTACTTAGTGTTGGCGGACAGGGATGTGATGTTCACTTCGTTTTGTTGGTTCCCAGCGTTTGACAACTCATTTATCGACAACTTTTTAAACATGTAATTCGAGTCCATATCCAGCGCTTTATAGCCTAAATAATAGCCAACTATACGGCCGTTACGGGTCTCGAGTGTCGGCGGACTAAACGTTACGGCCAGTGATCGGGCGCTCAATGGGAACACTTGGATATGCAATGGAGGCCCCGATGGCTCTGTGTGTATACATTAATTACATATATTAATATATGGCATACAGTATATTGTGTATATCTATGTATCAAATATATAATTATTGATTTTCATGAATAGTTGGGAAATAATATATAGCATTTTTCACACAAATTATATTCAATTCATTAAATTTATTCAATAAAAGGCTTATTATTATATATAAGAAGTAATTCTTATGACAGAAAAAATGAAAAATTGAAAGAATTATTGAATGAATGAAATATTTTTTAAAGAAAAAATATATAAGAATAAGTGATAGAAATAAAAAAAGTTTCGCTAAATAATAGAAAAATAGTTTCGCAAAACTATTGTTAGAGAGAGAGAGAGAGAGAGAGAGAGAGAGAGA